CACGACTCATAACAATTATTTGTTTTTCCTAATATTTTACCAATTTTCTTCACTTTATTTGTTTTTTAATCAAAGTTTATAATTTATTTATAACTCTTTTAAGTAATGCTTTTGTTTTAGTTGCCTTTGGAATTAGCTTTAAGTATGAAAAAAATAGAATTTTATTTATGTAGAATTTATACAAATTGTCATTAAAAATAACAAAAAACCGGTATTTAAAATGATAATAATTCGACATATCAATAACCAATACATAATAGCAGATGTCAATTAATGTTGGTAATTTTTATATTATTACTAAACTTGACAAATTATTCCAATTTGGCAATAATACCGTGCGATCAAAAAAAAACTAGAATAGGCGGTGTTCAAAGTCTTTCAGATGGCAATCCTGATTTTTGACATCAAATGCGGAAAGTGTGCGTTTTATTCATTTTGATTGAAATAATGTTCACTTTAGAGTAGAAAATTTTTATTGTTGGTTATTACAAAAATACTGTACAAGACGAAAACGGTGAATGGTCATTTTCACTTTCAGTTTATGTGGAAAATTTACAGCCCAGATTCCGAGCCAACGTGTTGGCAACTGCAGAATATCAATCGTCGCCTACTCTAATTTATAACTTTTTTGATCGCACGATAATACCATTGCGGACACGGAATTTTGGACGATTTGAACAGTTTCAAAGACGCTAATCACTTGTTACATGAGTTTAAGTTAAACGTTGATTGGTGATTTTGCGGTTATAGCAAACAACGCAATATACATTATATCAATATATATTATTGATTGTTTAGTTATTAGTTTAGGACAGAATAAAATGAAACTATCCGGCTTTTGTTTAATAAACTATTGAAATTATTTGATGTTAAAAACCACCGCAATATACATTACACAAAAAGAGGCAATATCAAAATACACTAGGCGCCAAACTTGACCGTAAAACTAAAATTTTGCGATTTTTCACATTGTACGATTTTTTGTTTACCTTAAAGAACAAACTTTGCAGAACATTGTATTTAAATCAATAACATTTCTAGTTTTATTTTGTAAATGTTGTACCTAAAAGACCAAAGCACTGTTTTTTTTACTTTTTTTATACTGAGCTGAATTTGCAACAAAAACAAAATTAAGTTTTTACTTATTTCATATTATTGTTCGTGCTTTTCTGAATGAGGACCAATTTATTTCAAAATTTTATTTTCTGGTGCTCCAGAGATACAAAGCATTGAGAAAAACGTTGCTTTTCTAATGTTACTAAATATTCGTTCAGAAAGTAGGCTACATAAAAAGATAGTTAAACACAAAAAATCTGAAAAAATCTGAAAAACTAGAAATTTCAAAGGATTATAACAAATAAAACTGTTAATTATTGGAAGCTTCCATGCGGCTATTTTCACGTTTTGGCATATTTAGCCTACTTAATACGAACATTCATTAAAATCGGAAAATAATGCTTTTTTTTGAAGGTTTGATATCTCTCATGTCTCAAGATTTAAAATTATGAAAAATGTTGTACATTATTCAAAAAAAATGGGCAATAATCTGAAATCAGTAAAAACTTAAGTTGTCTCTGTCACACACCACAGCTCAGTATAAAAATAAGTAAAAAAAGAGTGCTATGGTTTTTTGAGTATCACATTTAGAAGGCAAAACTAAAAATGTTATTGAATTCAATTACAATAATCTATAAAGTTTTTTCTTTAAGCCAAACAAAAATTCGTTGAAATCCGACAAAGAATAACAAAAATATTGCAATGTGAAAAAATCGCAAAATTTTAGTTGTCCGGTTAATTTTGGCGGCCAGAGTAGTTGACCATGTTATTTACAAAGTAACTAGAATTTACAATAAAACAGTATCCAATTGATTTAAATATATCTAATTATTATTAGTATTACTCACCACTCAATTTGAAGGGCAAGCTGCCTGACAAAGGATCAGGAGCGAAGGTCCTTGGCCCGAACGGAAAATGGTGAAACCCTTGCTGTCTCGTCTTTGACCTGGGCTCCCTCGGCCCATCCACCGTCACTTTGATCGCTTTATTATAAGTCGCGATTTGAGGTGGCGTCGTTGACACGATAATCGACAGCGTGAAACTCTTTCCTGGAACAAAACAACGCAACTTTGTGAAAAAAAAAGTACACACCATCGTGTGACACCCTAAACAACCGGTCATAAACGCAAACGACGCGAGAAATCGACGAATTATGCAAAAGACGGGCGCCAGAAAGTCGCCTCCAACGAGATATGGCCTAATTCGACGCCCGCAACAGTTTGAACAAATTCGATTCTGATGGGCGATCGCCGAAAGGTGCGTTTGACGCTTTTGACAAATGTTCGAGATCGAGACCAAATTCGAATTTAAAAAGGACGGGTTTTGCGAGAATGAGAAGTTTATGGGAGAATGCAAGCCGCAATTTCTCAACGCAAAAGAGAAAAAAAACATTTAATTAACAAAGTTAAACAATACGAACCCTAAACCCAAATAACCGTATTTTTTTCATAATAAATGTATTAAAAATATTTAATACTATAATTTCACTCCAAGTTTTTAAAATAATTAATAAACCAGATTTCATCAACTTTTGTTCACTGAGTTTAAATGAGTCAAAATGACATTTCAAGAAGTCAGGTTCAAAATAATTGACTTTCTGTTTTTTTTTTCATAATATTCAAAATCACGTTCATAGCACTTAATACTTTGTAACTTTTTAACTTTAAGCAATAAATTAATTTGTCACTATTTGTTTTATTTATTATTATATCAAATACCAATTTAACAAAAATAAATACCAATAAGTGTAGGACACAAATCAAACCAATTTTTTTAGCTGAAACTTAAAAACAAAAAATTTTAAACAAAAACACGTAAACATAAAAACTGAGTTAAAAGTACCCACAATAAAAAATTCTTTGAGCATTTTTTCACGAGATATAGCTCTTCAATCTTAAATTTAGTTAAAAAAAATCACCAATTTGTGTCTTATGGTTTAAAAAAACATTTAACAAACTTGCAAATTTAAGTATAAATTAAATCTAACAACATCGGATACAAAAAAGTAAGATGCCTACATGATTATTAATATGAAAATTGACAGTTCTGTTTTTTTTTTCAAAAAAAAAGCCTGAAATAAAAATCTAAATTAGCTGCAAGTTTTCTATCACCATTCGAGAGTTGGTCCGGCATTAAATCACCCTGTATAAGAATAAAAAACGCAAAATAATAATGCAAAAACATAAAAATTTTAAAAAACTATATCTATTCAAAATATTTTTAATATTAATTAAACTAATAAACTAATATTTTCTTTGTAAATTAAAGTTAACAAAAAGCGTATAATACTGTAATATGACGATTCATCAATAAAAAATGTTTTGTGATATTAAAATTTGATCTATTTAAAACACCCGAGTCAAAAAATGGTTTTCAAAAATGTTTGTTTAATTCAGTTTGTTTGATGATGGGAATTCCCTGCAGAAGTGCCAACCTAATCTCGGTTAATTCCCCGCAGCCGATGCTTGCGGCTGCAATTGAAAGCCGTAAAGGTAAGTTTATGTGTTGTGTGTAGCTTTTCCATCAAGTTTTTAATGTTTTCGTGATATAATGTTGCGGCTATCCCAAGCTCTATGTTCCCCTTGTGAAAAAAGAGCGTAAAAATACGAAATTACAAATGGAAATATTAATGGAATATTCTTAGGGAGCATTTTCTGGAGCAGATATCGCTTTACGTGCTCCGACCGTGTGAGCGAGTGCAAAAAATCGCTTTTTAAAACAAAACTTTTGAAAATAAATAATAAAAATAGAAAAATAGTAAAAATCTTTGTTATAAATTCACAGTTCGAATTTGAAAAATTAAATGTTTTTATTTGCATAATCAAACAAACAAATATAACGATAAATAATAAAAATGCGTCACCGAAACTCCGCGGTAATAAATAAAAATAAATCCGAACAAACAAAATTCCATATAAATTCGGAAAATATTTTTCAAACAGGCGTGATACATCAATCACGCGTATTACCTATAATATGGAATAAATAGGGAATGTTCTTTAATCCAACATGGCTGGCATAGTTTCATCCCGCTTTACCAGTTGGTAATGCTTGGAAATATGAATGCACTGTCGATAAATCAGGGATTACAGAGACACCAACATAATTCATAGATTAGAGATGTTCCGATCTCCAAAGCAAATAACTTAAATAGTCATGTTTACTTTGCAATGTTGGTATTTAATTAAGGTTATGCCGCCCGACGTGTTCATCGTTTCCGTACACGAATCCGAAACGTTCTTCTTTCAATTTTACAATTTTACAAATTTCTAACATTGCAGAAAATGAGCGAAAAATTTCTAATATTGACTTAATTAGGCGCGATTTCCCACACTTTAAGACGCCGTAAGAAAAAAGTTTTTAATTAGTTCCCGTCAAGAGAACCGCGAGAGTGACAGAGTGATAACGAGGGTAGGTTACTGCTCTCGTAAGAAACATCAATGTTTTTAAATACAAAATGCAGTCAAATTTATCACGCGACAAGTATTAAAAATAATACACAGTGCAGAAATAGTTATTTATTATACAAGACGATAAAATTGAATTTTATCTTTGAGAGAAAAGATAATGAAAATTGTATCGTTGTGTACAATATAAAATTTTATTCAATAATCACTAATTTTGTAGTCAATTTGGTCGATGTTTATAAATGTCAACGTAAAATTCAACAATGAAATCTAATGTCAAAGATCGTTAACAACAAACAACCGCAGATATACAACAATGGATGTATTTTTTATCATCTAGACGATAAAATTTTATTTTAAGTTAAAGAAAATAGTAGATAAAATTTAATTTTAACAAAGAGGATTGAATTAAAATTACACTACCCAACAATTTTTTTTAATGTGATTGATCTCTTGACACGTGACGTATATCAGGGTACATTAACATCCCCAATTACAAATTTACAAAGTTACAGGAAAATAGTTTTCTTTTCTTTTGTAGGCTGTTTTAACTTCCCTTATCAGGAACCAGCAGTAATCCCCCATCATAGCTAGATCCTATCTCCCTTGGTACCTCTTTTCCATCGTCAATATATCCTGAAGGAACCTTTCCCCTTGCTCGTCACTAACGGTACCCAAATTTGGGGAATTTTTTTTTAATGAGAATGGAAAAAATGAATTTTAAGTGTTTTTCGGCGATTTTGTCGAACATACTCGTAGTACTTACATATGATATCTTAAAATGCCTAACTTTAAAATCTAACGTGCTATAGAATTTTCTTTATCATTTTTGAGTTTAGCACATAGAATTGAACAAAAAATAACTGTTTTATTCTCAGTCACAAAATGCTTGTTGGCTAGTAATATTATTTTTCAAAATTGGTGGATGCGCCGGGATAATAATAATGTAATGTTTTTCTTTTTATACTAATAAAATACATTTGTTTTGAATTAATTCTGTATTAAAATCGCTTAAAATTGGATTGAAAATAGCTCAAATTGCTTTATTTTAGAAGAAAACTCTTATTAGAGAAAGTATTTGGTTGAAATACTTTGATTTAGTTTGTTCCCCAACTTAAAATTGAGCCAAATCGATTGAAAATATCACGAATTGCTCTATTTTAGCCTAAAAGTATGATTGAAGCAATTATATTTACAAAATACATTAATTTCGAATTATTTCTATAATAAAATCGAGCAAAATTTAATTGAAAATAGCTCAAATTGCTTTGTTTGAGTATAAAATTAGAATTGAAAAGATTTATTAAAACTTAAATTTCACTGACATTTTATTTTTTAGTAGTATTTTATTTTCTATTTCGATGTCACAATGAGCATTTTATGTAACTGAACACAGTTGCATATAAAATGAACTTTTGTGACACTGTTTTTTGGAGACATTTTATTGGCCATTGCTGACGTTTTTAGGTAAGAAATTGTTGCAGTTTAACGTGTTTTACCAAATTTAATGCAATTTAAGCTATATTTCAAAAAATTTCGGTACCGCATACGTCAAATGTCAAAAATTTTAACTGTCAAATATAATAATAAATTTCATTTAAAAATTGCTCAATAGAAAAAGTAGTATAAAAAACGCGTATTACAATCTCTCATTATGATACTCGTGCATTTGTAAGACAATGAGGATGTTTGTAACACTTTACTTTTTTTTAATGTACAGTTGGAGACAAAATACTTTGGTCACTTGAGTGACATTAAATTGTAAAGCATGCTTTAGAACTGTGGACCTTATTTCTAGCTACTGTCAATCATAGTTGACAAGTTGTATGTACAGTTACGAAATTAAAATTTTGGGCAGTATTTTTCTGTCACTTCAAAAAGTTTACTGTAAACTACCTTTTACTGTCATCATGATTGACATTTGACAATTAAACTTTTCTGTCGGTGACGTTATTTTTTAAGTAAAATGACATAAACATGACAAGAGTAAAAAATGAGGTTATTAATGTA